CCAAATGCAATAGCTCTGATGTGCAATGGGAACAAGTGAAGACTTTATTGATGTCTGCTAATTGAGGAAAAACCTCTTTCGCGATTCACTGCTGTTTAGAAAAGTGCCCATTGAAAACTACATACCTTCTAATCTGGCAACTGCATCTTTCGACGATTAGCAAACACACTGGCACTTCTATTCGTAACTCTGCAGGACAAGAAATTTTGCAAAACAAGACAACACAGGATGGAGCGTTCGGCGTTGATTAACGCTTTAAGGATGCCTCATGCATTCGACTTCATTAAGCATCGTACAGGTGGCTGAGTGCAAACAAAAGGCTAAACAATGACTAGCGTGGGTCTGTTGTTGAATCAAGTGTTTTTCATTCTTTCGGACGAGTCTAGTACCAATTTGCCGACGCCGGAAGAGCTTCGGGATTGGTTTTCTATAGCGCAAAGTCGGAGTAACGACTAGGTGTGTGTTGCAGGGCACAACAAACCACAGCGAAACATGCTTTCTAAAAGTATTCTGTCATTTAAATGGAAATTGTATTGACACCCACACGATTAATGTTCGGGAAAGATCATTTTAGTATTTAAGTAACTAGGATTTAGAGCAGACTGTAGATTTTGTAGAAGCTACAAAATCAGCAGGTATTACTTGTTGAGACTTAAATAAAGCTCTTTCCTTTAGACGCATATCGCTCTGTAGTTTTTATATGTCATGGCGACGAGCTGCTCTCGGTCATTTCCTGTGAGTTCATTTTCCAATCACCATTTCTTCTCAGTTCACAACTTTTTCCGTTGATTCATCATCTCGTGACTTCCAGTGGTGTCTTTCCTTTGTTTCGCTAAGCTGTGATTGCTTATAAAAATATTTCATGCTCATATCCTGAATATCGTTGTCAGTAAGGTTTATAAGACTATACAAACATTTTCTGTGACAAGCAAGTGTTCAGAAATGCAGTTGATGGAAAACTGAAGAGGGTTTCTGCTACAAAAAGAACCCAGGATTGGAATATGGAAATGTTCCACTAGTTTCAGGATGTTAAAAAGAGAACCGATCAGAAATCGAGCAGCGTTCCTTTTCAAATCCGACTTCTTGTTTGAAATAAGCCACTCCAGAAGAGAAAATGCTCCCAACGAAAGCATTCCTCATGTTTCATTGTTAATTCGACTTTGTCACCACCTTTCATCATAATTTTGGTTCAAAGAAACGTTGTTAAGTAATTGAAATAAGTGATTCCTTCCTTCAATAAAGAACTGCACGCAGTAGTCTTTAAAAAATCAGTCCTCTTGGCGGAGATTTCTATTGGATGTGATGTTTCTTGAATTTCGTTAACGGCGGCGAACAGGGCTTAATGGTGTCGTCCGGTCGTTTTCGTTTCAGAGGTGTTGTCATAACATTTGAATTTCTGCTTAGTTAAGAAATTAAGCAGTTTTTCTGAGCTACTTCGTTCCCCGTTTTCGTTCTTCGAGTTAACAACGGAGAATTTTGTTTCGATTCCATCTTCATGAAGGTTTAGCACCGTTACATGGCGCCGGAACACCTGAATTCCGCATTGAGCTAGTTACATACCAGAAGTTCCTCTTCAAAGGTTAAAGATTGTGTGACAGACATGATACGAATGGAGGAATCTTTAAAAAATTCGAGACGAAGATGGTTTTTTGATGACAGACTGCAATTTTTCCGTTAACAGTAATGGAAGAATTGCGAACTATCCAAACTCATCAAAGGGACTTTGCTCTATTACCTCTGTTTTAAGGTACTCTTTCAATCCCAATAGTAAGTATATCCAGAATCAACTTTTCAAAAAACAGGGTAGGAAGTTTTGAAAAGCTTTCCATGTAACTACATTTGTCGAAAGCAACAACATTTGGAACACAATTAAGTACTGATGAAAGAAATTCCGCTGTTCAGTTCCTTTCGTGTTCTTCAAGAAATTGTGATTCCATCCTAATAAGATTGTAGACTTATATCTTATAGGCAAAAACCTGTAGATTCTATCCATTTTTATTTCAGTTAATTATGTTCGCTAAGATTTCCAACGATTTACTGGTCCACCGCGGCTGGGAAGTGTTTCCGGGTGTTGGGCTGCGATGTACGGCGAGGAGATTCATCACCCCAGCAGGGTCTCCCAAGTTGGGAGAGAGTCCGATGTTTCCATCAGGAAGCCCATCCAATGCAACGATCCACCGCCGTCCTATCAAGCTATCCGCATGGTCGCAAATTTCTCTCTGATCCACAAGAGCTGGGACTGCTTGTGGTGGTCACGACCTGGGGCAGACTTTGGCTATGCTGACCTCGGGACTCCAAGAAACTACAATAGCTAGAGCAGAAAAACACCGGAAAACAGAAATTGTACTGAGGTTCGCACATCCAGCGAAGACAGGCCATCGAATTTTCCTAGTAAGTATGTTCACCAAGAACTGAGTTATGTTGGTTTAAAGTTGAAATTGGCCTTATTTTTTGCATAGAATGGTTTCTGCTGAGATCCATACGTCGATGCTAATGTGTTGAACCAAAAACTGTTGTTGATCCAGAGAATTTCTGCCCCCCAGGTTTTCAACGTTCTCTTCATGCTTTGCACTTATCGGGCGGAATTAATTGTGAACGGATCCGATTTCAGTGTACATATAGCCTACGAGTGAGAAATGAGCCACAATGAAAAAAAACACCCAGGCGATTGGTGTTGAAGTGTAATTGTTCGATAGAAAACTAGCTGAGATACAGGCGAAACGAAGGACACGCTTGGTGTGGTGGTGAACGCGTTAGCTCCCGGAAAAGGTAATACTGCGTTCGGTTCCCCGCCGCAGACACTTGCGGTCCTATTTCGTATAATATCCTGCCGTGAAAAGTTGTGGTAGGCAGCAAATAAAAAGTAAAACGTTGTGGTTGTTCATTTTTCTTTATAAGGAGACTCAGTTGCTAACAAACTAGAAGGCGCTATTACTGGTACCAATATCGAGCTTCTGTGATCTCCAATAGAATCCATGAAAATCGCCAGCGTTGTTGATCAAGTCTGATTTGTATTCGTGCAAAGGAATTCCTGCATGAAATTTCTAGGTGATTGTGTCGGACTTCTCAGAAGCCGACTACTTCTGGCGTTCCGTGGCCTATGGAACCCGTTGAGATGATTCCTCGTGATGAACACCTGACAGAACACCACCGTCATCCGCACTCAGATCTTCGTCGGTAGATCATCAACCGACCTCCCGAGTCACGCGTCCATCACGGGCACGGTGCTGGCGGCGGCGGCGGCCCCCCGTTCATCGATCCCTCTTGTGCCCTCCTCTCATCGACCTCGTCACCTCACCGCAGCTCTGATACCGCTTACCGATGATTTCATCCTCATCCGTTCTCTCCTTCTTTCTGATTCTTCTCCTATGGTCTTTTCTTTTCGTTGTTCATTGGAAACCTTCTAAATCCTTATAAAAATCCACAGCTTCAATTTGATGAGTTGTTTGATGGTTTGAATTCGCCGACGCTATCGAGTTTCATCAACAAGGCCGTAGAGGTTCTTGTTTCCAGCCCTCTTTTTCTCTAGAGGTAGTTTTTGTTGTCCAAGTTTTCTTCATTAGTGGAAGGTAAGGAATTTGAGAAAGAAGCGGCTTATTCATTGATGACTTTCTAGTTCTGCAGCTTGTCCGGCCACCCACGCACCATACCCACTTTGTTGAGACGTGAATTGTTGCTCTAGCATACTTATATCTTTGTTTTCTTTACAATCACCGTTGAACTCTCGAATTGATTTAGACAACTATGCTTTCATCGAATTTCTTCTCGGATTTGTGATTCTTCCAGTTCTCTATTCAAGGGTGGTTTTCTCTCCACATAAAATATTTCTGAGCATTTCCTACACCCAAAGCTTCTTTCGGAAGCAAACTACTCTTGTTTCTTGTAGATTTTTCGCTGTAGTTGAGTTAGTGCCAAGGTTAATTTAGTGAATTTCGATGAATGTAGAAAAGTTTGGACCATTTTCGACTACGAGTGTATCGATTTTTGGGCCTAACTTTTTCTGTGAGACCAGCCGATCGATAACGATACCTAGCATGGTGGCGTTGTAGATGCGGATTGTCGTCATGTGTCATTTGGTCGTTCGTTCCAAATTAATCATTAGAAATGTTTTCATTACTCTTATTGCTTTTTTATTACTCTCTAGTTAGGTTCTCTTTTGACCATATAGAATCATTCTATGATCGTTCCAGTTTTTCCGTGAATCTGTCAGACCACATATCGCTCATTGTCTTCTAAGTGATTACTCTTGTTAGTCGTGGAAGAAACCGTTTGCTGTTGATCATCTTATCTTCAGTAGGTGAACATAAGATTTTCCAGACAGAACGTCCAGAACCTTTACCACTTGTTAGCGTATTATTTAGAAGAAATCACGGTGAGGATGAAAGAAACTGGAACAAATTTTCAACAAAAATAGGGTTCTGACCGGTTCATAGCAACAGTGAACGGCTTGTTTACGACCAAATAGAGTAGGTATAAAACATATCCATAAAATAGTCAGCGAACGAAGGAGTCATTACTCCACTCCATTGCTGCCTTCATTTTAACTGCAGTTGTTAAGTTGCTACTTTTAAATATTGATCGTTTCAACTATCCTCATGTCTACTATAATGCTGAGATTTTTGCAAAACTTAGCTCAGACCAGATTCGAACCTACAATTACCTTATCAGGGGCACACATGTTACTCCACTGCACCATTAAGGTCCTCTGACGTTCTGTCATCCACTTTTCTATCTAGTGGTACTATCAGCAGTTACCCGTCAGTCACTCTGTGAGTGTTTGTCTGTAATCGGGGCAAATTGTACTACAGCCAGAAAATGTGCTGATTCAGTCGAAATTGCCAGCGTTTGGAGATAATTGAGTTAACCACGTCTCCTTTCGGTCACGTGAAACGAAAATACAGTGTCAGACAACACCAGTCCAGCATGAGTTGCGTCAATTATGCAAGAAACTAGGCAAGTGTCGTATTAATGTCATAGCTTCATTGCATCGTGCCATCTGAATGAATTCGCATGACAGCAACGTGAGCACGGAGGAAAATGTCGGATTTGAGTGGAGCGCTCAGTTCACTAAAAGTGCAAGTGAGTTTGCGCTGAAGCGGAATGACATTGGCGGGAAACGTGACAGGAATACTTCCGCAGTTTCGTGGAATACTCGAATGACTGATAAATTAGATGGATATTCGTACAAGGAGAAGGAAAATGTTATGTAAGGAGATAAAGATACCGTCTGCGAGGGAAATGTGGAACGATGTCACGAAATCCGCGCAGGTATTCGGTTTGGATTTGAGCAAGTGAGTTAGCTATTGACGTTGTTTAGATGCGATTTCAAAGACTTTATCGTCTGGAAAGTCGGACGTGGGAGTTACTTTTATCGTCTTGATTAATAAGTTTGCACAAATTTGTTCTGAAACCTTTTCATTGCTACACTCTGGTGACATCGTCTTCTTGAGACCTGTGGTGATTCAGTTCCATGACAGCTTTCTCTTCTGATGTGAAAGATTCATGTTCGTTACCACCGTCATCGTTTATGAGTCTGCCTCATTTTGTCTGCGGATATATGGTTTTCAAATGATATCCTTAAATTTGACGTGATATGCTCTTCTGTTTCCCAGGGATGTTTAGTTGCGGTATATTGTGGTCCATCCCTAACTAATGTGGATGCTTTTGCATCGAGAAGTAGATGCATGATAAACAGTTCGCAAAGAGAACGATAAGGAGAACTAGTCGGGGGAGAGAATGAAGGAGATGGAGCGATATATGGTCACTCTTTTAGCTAATAAACACGACACTGTTGAGGAAGAGATTTGTGAGGTCTCGCGGGGATTCATTAAAGGTGTTTTTCATCGGAGATTACCGCTGATCAAGACTTTTCTTCATCTGAGTGATGTAAGCCGATTTGTTGTAAGAGTTCGTCTTTCTATAATATTGGCTGATACGAGGTGAAATCTAAACCAAGAACATGTGTGCTAGTCTGGAGCGGCCGCTTTGGGTTCGGCTAAGCTAAATTCAGTTGAAAAATGAAGGAATCAATGTGTGAAATCTTTACTCTCAATATGTGAGCCTCAACGTCGTACGGAGAACTGCTGACGGAATTGAAGAGGATTTAATGTGCTGTCATAAGTACTACTATTATGAGAATGAACAAGACGATTCGGATGTCTTCGACTGAAGAGGGACGAATCATTTAGTGCTTCGACTATTCTAATCTCTAGTTAGTTAGATTCATGCAAATCTATCTAAAACTACAATCGGAAATCTAATGGAAAACATGAATGAATTTCACACATAAATTTTAATTTAGATTGACACCGATTAGCGAAACGATGAACGACCAGAAAGTTTTTACATAGTAACCATGATTTTTATAGGATTCAATGTAAGCTTCGTAACTGGAGCTTTGTTGCTATAGAATTTCGCATTTTCACAAGGACATTGTCATAGATGTAAACAGGGATGTTCGATAGAGAGGCACGTTGTCGCTTCTCTACATATATATATATATATATATATATATATATATATATATACATACATATGCATACTTGAAATTAAACGACCCGTCCTCACTAGTTGTGCAGGTCTCAGCATAATCTCTATTTTTCGGCAATTTGTTGGTTAAGCCATTGTGGTTCTCTGGAATCCAGAGGTTAGCCTTGCCAAAATCTGCCCCTTTATGTGCATATATATGTATATATTTATTTGTTTATTTATTTATATATACATATAATGCGAAATTACGTTTATAAATATCTGTTATGATCACTAGACCAATTTTCACCGAAGGAGCTCTTATTATTTCATGTCACTCTTTCGTCTGGGAACATTACAGGTGAGTCTTGGAAGCATAACCGCGGAAGCTTATCTAATGACAATAAGCGTCAGTCATTGAATGCTTTTTTCTTTGTTTGATACAAAATCAATTTCTGACTAGTGCTTTTCCGTCTTTACCATACTACTGGTTCCGAATCTGTGTGTAAACAGGGTCTCACAGAATTTGTTGTGGAGTTTTAGCTCCAAAGCTTTTGCATAAATAGGTTTCCAATGCCTTGGGGCACTTTGATTTTCCCAATGGACGTTTTTGGCGCAGATTAAATCTAGCATAATCAACATAAATGGGAAATTTGTTGTTAAGATTTTCAACAAGATGGACTTGTTTTCGCAAACTCTTTCCGAAGTCGATTTAAAGTTCTGTGCTGTTTTTGTCTGGACTATGGACTTTACCGAGAAAGCAATTTGATTGATGGACGAGTTTCACGTGACTTATTCGTCAGTTATTTCGACATTGACATATGGAAGTGAGTCATGAGCGAGGCTGAAGAAAACGGTTGAAGTGCACTTTTTGTAAACCTCTGCCTTGGCGAAGAAGAGAGATGAGTTTGCCCACCATGATGTACTAAAATATGACTGGCAAGGGAAATGGCAAAACGGGGGATTTTGAAATGCGTGATGTCAGAATCTCATGTTCATCATCTTTCAAAAATGGATAAGAAATATGGCTTACAAAGTGCATAAGGAATAAGTCGTTCGGCTTTTATCAATCTCTTGGGATTCGTCATATGTGCAGTATATTAAGTATCGAGGGGGCGATTGAGCGCTTATTTGGTCTATGTAATGACTTACTTACCTATCTACAAAATCCGTGTTCTTTATATCCTCACAGACAAGTCTGTTACCAATCTGATGATCCCAGAGAGATGGAAAGCGTGGTTGTACACGCAGGGTCGAACAAAGGATCGTGTGTATTGGAGTGCATCTTCAACCACCACGCTGCACGCATTCTTCATCGTTGAAGAACACTTAATCACACTGTTTTACCTTTTTCACCAAAGATTTTTAATTTTCGGTGAACAAAAGCGAATGTTGATAGTTTGATTTAGCTCGGAAATTTATGATGACCCATGTCGATTGCCCTTATGGAAGTGTTTAGCTTAAAAAAGGTTGCAGTGCCGAACCACCAGCGTTGTGTTGCAGTGAACAGCTTGATTCAACAATTTGTATATCTAAGATAATGCTGAGATATTGGCAAAACTCCCGGACCACGGGTGTCTACGGTGAGAAACGAACGTGCTATTGTCCTTTCCGGGGAGTAACGCGTTCACCACCACACCATGCAGGTCCTTCGTTTCGCCTGTCTCTCACCTAGTTCTATTGATCGGCGCCATCAGCAATCATCCAGAGTTTTGTATATCCTTCGTTAAGTTCAGCTATGACTCATCTTTGATTTTGCAAAGGTCTTTTTTCATGTAAAATCGTGTCATGGGCTTTTTACAAGATACACGATTTTTTGATCACTCATTCGCATGTACTGGTGAAAATTCGTTAAGTAGTTTCATCTCTCAGCTCTGCTCTAAGTTTCCTCACAATCCTCTTTAGCAACCAAAAATGATGTGATGGTACTAATGATATTTTCTGGGAATTAAGAAGGAAAACTGTCTTACTGAGTCTCACTAAGACCGATTCGGTGACGAGAACCGATGACGTCATTATGTTTCCGTCATGTTTGACGCGGCTTCTCCGCTATCAACTCGTTCGTGTTATTCCCATGTGAGAACCTACCGGGTCACGTGACAGTGGTCCATTCGGCTTCCATGAAAAAAAGTAAAGATTCAGATTTATTGATTTATTATTACGTCATCCAAAAACTAATGCAGCTTTGACCGATGTTTGTTGTGTTGTTTTCGAACATTAATGCCCAATGCCATTAATTCGAAATATTAATGCCTTTCTTATAAATGAGGTTCGATTGAGTTTTACTTCGTTTAGCTATTGATTATTACTTTTTTTCAACTTCTATCCATCTATTTACTTTTCGTGCCACCCAATATTACATATTGGGCGGATCCGATTTTTTCATTCGCTTCACTGTCATTCATCCATCATCCACAAGAAGAACTTGCATGTAAGTTCGGCTCGCATTTGAAGACTTTGCCTTTTTCGTCAATATCGTAGAATGGTGGTCGAGCTGATTCTTCCCGGAATGCCGACATAACCATATCGAACGTTTCCAAATCCTCACCACGTAGTCAGCCGTTGTGGATCAACAGTGGATCTTCCTTTACAAGTTTGAAGCAGTTTTCCGACTTCGGTTGCATGGGGGGTATGACTGACCTCGGATGTGCTCAAGCCGGCGACCATGCTCGTATATTAATCCTCGACACGTCATTCCTGGCCACAAGGGTTCCTGCGCTCCGATTATAATTCCTCAGCTGCGAACACTACAAACTTAGTAGCTTTGTGTTAAAACAGATTTTTATCCCATTAGTTTTTTATTTATATTACATATTGTGTTCGTATTGTGTTCGTACGGTCGTCAACCTCTATCCTCATGTGTTTTCATTTGGAGCACACCTCATTGAATCGCTGTAAAGTTTTGAATGATTCTGTAAGTACACAGCTGTCACACTGCGGATAACAAAACTTTCGATTAACGTGTTTTTGTTTTCGTATCGGAAGAAGTGAATGAGAATCACTCAGGAATCGAGAACTTCCTTACTGTAGTTCAACTGCGGCAATGAAATATTTTTTTTGAACGAAGTAAAGTTGGATGAATGAAAGAGTGAAATCGACGAATGGAACGAAAAAATTGATTCATGGGAAAGGGTAGTGGAAATCTGAGCTGTTGTGACTCCGCGCCTGACTGACCGAAATGGCACTTATGTGTACTTTGATTTGCATATTTGTAATCACTCCTGAAGTTCATTCAGTCGTTTTGACCGTCTCATTGTATTCTCGGTTTTATTTTCTTCCCGTTATATTCTCTCTTCAAGCAGTTTATTACGCATTGTTGTGGTTGCCCTAGTTTTTGTTGTTTTTTTTATCCCATTATCGTTTCCCTTTCTTTTCTCTCTTTAGCTTTTCATCTTCTCGTTTGTTCACAAAAAGAACCGTTAATTTAACAATAGCTAGGGTGTAAGGCAATGTTAGGGTAGCTATATTAGGGTCATAACGTTTCAACGTTTTCGTCTTCCTCAGAACCGACGATCCGAGTCGATGTCCAGAGTTCTTCGTACCCTCGATGTGGTGTCTTCGTTGTCATATCGACTCGGATCTTCCTCAATGGGTCACTACTCGAATTAGGCATCCTCGATTTTAGTTCTAGTCGTTTTTGGATCCATATCTCATGTCAAAAGTGATTTCACTTAAGAGTAGTCTTCGCTGCGTGACTTCATGAAATTGTTGAACTGTTAGGTTTTCTTTGTTAATCGAATCC